CAACATTTCCATTTTTGTCACCTCCGACACTGGTTTTAAAATAATTGAGCACACGTATGGTCTTTTCAGCAGAGCCTCTGCTGCAAGTTTAAACACTCAAAAATCCCAGGGTTTGTGGGTCGGTTCGTGGACCGGACGAATCGACCGGCCCCTGAACTTTCAGTGGAACAATCAAGGTCTCACTTTTCTTGGAGTTCGCTTAGGAAACACTCACGACTTTCTCAAACAAAACTTAACAAAACTCTCTGTCAATGGAAACGTCTCTCTTCTACTCTGTCCTTTAAGGCAAAATTCTCGTGGCCAATCAACTAGCCGCGTCTAAATTCTTTCACGTCTTTGCCGTTCTCTCTCCCCCGAAAATGTCCTGAGCGAACTCCAAGATTTGCTGGTCGATTTCGTGTGGTCCAGGAAAAGACATTATCTTAAAAAAACAAATTCTTTTTCAAAGACCCGACAGGGGCGGTCTTGGTCTTGCATGCCTCCAAGCACGCACTCTCGCCTACAGAATGTCCACTATTCAACGTTTTCTTGATCTTTGCCCTCATCCTGCCTACACCATGGTCAGTTATTTTCTCCGGCGTTATAAGGAACTTGACGTTGACCTTCAACTCTTCCAAATTAATCTCGAACAAAAATTCTTCATCAGCACTCCTCCATTCTACGGCGAGCTACTGCGTGCTTGGACGGCATCCGGAGCTCGGATTGAAATACATTTGAATTCGAGCAGTCATGTTATCAACATTCCTATCAATAGTACTCTTCTCGAACATGCGGCTGACGATGGGAGCACCTGTTCTCAGCTCCTCTCGTACGGGATCAGGATCGTCCGCCATCTTCTCCACCCCTCCACCAGTCGCTGGCTGGTAGCCGAAGATTTGCCTTCTGTCTCCTCGAGAATCCGTCGTCCTTCCTTCCGCCTCATTGACAAGTGGCTTTACCGTCTACATCTCGCCCTCCGCTCGTCTTTTCCGTCGCTCTTCGACTTCTTCGGTCTGCTCTCTCCTCCGACCCCTCTCCGCACCGTCCCCTGCTTTCCAGACACTCCGATACCCTTCTTCATCCCTCCCGACCTCAACGGACTTT